ATCCTCCTGACGCGACGCTGATTAATTCCTTCGAGTTGAAAAAAAAGAAATCCCTGCTTTTACTTCCGTCAATAAGAAAAAAGAAAGAAAAAGGAAATCAAAGTCTTCCCAGTCCAACACCTTTGTATGAGGCGTCCGAGGCATAATTTCTCTTCGTTCGCTGAAAAGGATAACGTGGATAAAACAGGAGACTCCCTGCCAGCTGATTACCTCCTTTGCTGATTGGCTGATCCCTTCCACCAGTCCGCCAATCAGGTGAGATGAGGTAGGGTGGGGGGGCGGGAAGGGGACGGGTGGGGAGGGGACCGGTGTAGAGGGTGGGGTGGGGAGGATGGCGGTGGAGGGTGGAGATGTGTTGGGGTAAGGAAAGGGAGGGGTTTAAAAAGTTGGGGTATGGTGGGACGGGGATAGAAGGGGCAGAAATTATGGGGTTGGGTAGGCGGGGATAGGAGGGGGAAATTACGGGCTTAGGTAGGGCGGGGAAAGGAGAGGGTGCGGTGAAGGGGGAGGAGTTATTGGGGTCGGGTAGGTGGGGAGGGAAGGGGTGCCGCGAGGGGTGGAGTCACCTATCGACCGTTGTAATTATGGGGGTAACAGACATCACCTATAAATCCGTTTTCATTACGCGCAAGACTGAAATGGCAATGGCAGCAATACCATAAAAACGTCTAAATGATTCAATAAAAGACAAGTAAAAAGAAGAAGAAAGAATAAGAATAGTATTAAAATATGTTTGTTACTGTGAGACCCCCCGCGACGACCACGAAATAACGGTTGTATATCCGGTTGCAGTATTTAGGAAATCTGAAAGAATATAATAAGTAACTTACAAGAAACAACACAAATCTACTTCCGGTGAAGTCTCCGAGGCGGCATAACTTACGCATCCGCCAAGCAAGCACATGCTCTTTAATCTAACGCCATATCAAATCGGTGTTAGATATTCGAGCAATTTTTTTCTTTTCTCGAAACTTGCTTATTCGCACAATTCATCGTCTTCGCGTGAGATAGTTCACTATTCTCCGGAATTGACTGGCTTTCGATGGAATACAATTCTCTTTGAATTAATTTTCGATCTAAAGCTCCACACTCCACCTACTGCTCCACACTCCGCCTAAGCTGCTCCGCCTAAAGCCTCCACACTCCACCTGCTCACACTCCGCTAATCTCGCCTACTGCTCCACACTCCGCCTAAAGCTCCACACTCCGCCTAAAGCTCCACACTCCACCTACTGCTCCACACTCCGCCTAAAGCTCCACACTCCACCACTACGCTGCTCACACTCCGCCTAAAGCTCCACACTACTGCTCCACACTCCGCACTCCACCTACTGCTCCACAACTCCGCCTAAAAGCTCCACACTCCACCTACTGCTCCACACTCCGCCTAAAGCTCCACACTCCACCTACTGCTCCACACTCCGCCTAAAGCTCCACACTCCGCTCCACACTCCGCCTAAAGCTCCACACTCCTCCTACTGCTTCCACACTCCGCGCTGCTCCACACTCCGCACTCCACACTCCACCTACTGCTCCACACTCCGCATAAAGCTCCACACTCCACCTACTGCTCCACACTCCGCCTAAAGCTCCACACTCCACCTACTGCTCCACACTCGCACTCCACACTCCAACCTACTGCTCCACACTCCGCCTAAAGCTCCACACTCCACCTTACTGCTCCACACTCCGCCTAAAGCTCCACACTCCACTACTGCTCCACACTCCGCCTAAAGCTCCACACTCCACCTACTGCTCCACACAAAAGCTCCACACTCACCTACCTGCTCCACACTCGCGCATAAGCTCCACACCTCAACCTACTGCTCCACACTCCGCTAAAGCCTCCACACTCCGATGCCTACTGTTGCCACAACTCCGCCCTTAAGCTGGCCATCAACACTCTGACTGCTGCCAACAACTACAGGACCTAAAGCTTGCCAACTCCAGCCTTACTGTTCAACGGCATCCGCATCCAAATAGCCTCCTACACTGCACCCCTACTGCCCTCCACATCCGCATAAAAGCTCCCACACTCCACTCTGCTCCACACGTTCGCGGTGCCTAAAGCTGCTCACACTCCGATCCTACGCTCCACCTCCGCATTTAAAGCTCCACCTGCCTTACTACGTGCCTCCACACTCTCGCAGTAAATGGCTGCCACACGGTCACCTGTACTCGTCCGCACTCACTAAAAGCTTCCACGACTCATCGTTACGTTGCTTCCACATCTCGTCGCCTTAGCTCCACAGATCTCCATGCACTTCTCCACAACCTCCTGCGATAAAGCTCCACACGTCCACCTACTGCTCCACACTTCCGCATAAAGCTGCCACACTTCCACTACTGCCTTCCACACTCCGCCCTAAAGCTCCACACTCCACCTACTGTGCCACCACCGCCTTTGACGCTCCACACTCCACCTACTGCTCCAACTAAAGCTCACACTCCACTACTTGCTCCACACTTCCGCATAAAGCTCCACACTCCACCTTCTGCT